CTCAAGGAAGGAGCCTTACACGGCAAAGAGCCCTCTGAATCTTAAAGCAAACACAGGCTCCGCTCCCTCCGAGACCAAAGCACCTCTGGGGATACAACAGGCCCCAACGGGGACCCTTGTCCTAGAATTCTCCTCAATGAAAACATCATTTGGGGTAGTAATACAGGCAACAGCAATGACAGCCTTTTACCAAGTGTTGCTTGAGGGCCAGGCATTGTGTTCAGAGCTATATGTGTTATATATATAATCATTTCATCCTTAAAGCCACCCCAGAAGGTAGCTGATCTCATTTTGCCCCCTTTCGAAATAAGGAATCTGAGGCCTAAGGGAGATAAAGTAACTTGGCCACATCGCACGGCCAATAAGTGGGAGAGATAGACATTCAACTCAGGTCGGCGGTCTCCAGGGCCTGTGTTTTTAACTACATTTTTATGCTATAGTGTCCCTCGTCCTGTGCCAATGTCCTCCTCCTCCAGGAAGCCCTCCTTGATGCCCCCTTCCTCTACACAAAAGTCCTCTCTCCATCCTCTTGGGTCTCGCAGCATATCTTTTTATACCATTATTTGGACATCTCCCTTATACTACTTTGTAGTATTTGCCTCCCAGACTCTCCCTGGGAGTTTGGCCGTTGTGATGAGGTGTGGGGGAAACGACCTACACTAAACAAACTCATACGAGACTGATTGATAAACCTGGAAGGCGGTTTATTAATTTACACTGAGAAATGAAACCAGCCGGCAGACGGGAATCCTGAGGTTGACTGGTCAGCACAATCTCTTTCAGGAAGGATAGACTTTTGGGAAAGGAAATCAATACCAGAAGGTTCTTTGTTCAGTACAAAGTCAGAGTGAAGGGAGTTGACGGACTGACACTTAGGTAAAGCCTGACACACCCCTATAAAGCCTCCTACCTGCCAAGGAGTCCGAATCCAAGGCAGGGATCCCTATGGGTGTCCTCTTCTCTGGATAGTGCTGGATTGTTCTGGATCCCAGGAAGATCCTGCCTTTCTGGCTGCCTGTATCATGACTGTGCCTAGCCTTTTTGTTAGCTTGTTTGTTTAGATTATTTCTGCATACCTGATAGAACGGAGAGGGAATTTACCATTGAGACCCAGTGAAGAAGAAGAATCAATACTGTGCTGCCCTTTACAGAGCCTTGACTTCCACGTGGCCATTTCATCTCTGTGCTGCTCTGCAACAGAGGGATGGCAGATGGCAAAAAAAAAAACATGGAAGCCAGACTGCCTAGGTCTGAATCCCGGAGAGTCGGTTTCCCCATCTCTCTGTTGCAGATAATAATAGCACCCTCCTCATCATTTGTCGGGAGAGTGCAACGAGTTAGTACACATAAAATGCTTAGAACAGTGTCTGGCATCTGGTAAGCACTCAATACTTGTTAGTGATGATTAATAATTCATTTTATAGATGGAAAAACTGAAGCCCAGAGAGATAAAAAGTCAACTAAGATCATGCAGCCAGTAAGTGGCGAAGCGATCATTCAAAAGCAAACTGGCTTCCTTCAGGTGCCAAGGGTTTCTCCCAAACCCAGTTTCTTAGCCTTCACCCTTCATGAGAATCCCAAGAGGAGCTTGTTTAAAAATGCAGATTCAGGGGCGCCTGGGTGGCACAGTCGGTTAGGCGTCCAACTTCAGCTCAGGTCATGATCTTATACTCCGTGGGTTCAAGCCCCGCGTCGGGCTCTGTGCTGACAGCTCCGAGCCTGGAGCCTGCTTCGGATTCTGTGACTCCTTCTCTCTCTGCCCCTCCGCCTCTCACTCTGTCTCTCTTTCAAAAATAAATAAACATCAAAAAAAATTTTTTTTTAATAAATAGATAAATAAAAATAAAAATGCAGATTCACCACCCACCAGAAAGGGTAACCTTTAAAAGGATGAAACCATCAAGGTCTGGCGAGGACGTGGGACAACCAGAGGGAGTTAGGTAGGCACCGTCACTTGAGAAAGGTATTTGGCAGTTTCAAATGGAGCGAGAAAACACCTGGCTGGTGTCAGCCAGGGTCAACCAGGGGAGAGAACCACTCTTGGTGAGGTGCTCGGGGATTCAGCCCTACTCACTGTGGGAGCTGGTTAAGCACTCTTGGGAAACTCTGGTCTTTGCTTCTCAAGTTGGAGCTTCGATGCCACAGGTCAGACAGCCAGGAACAGAAGGCGGATCTGGGGGAGATCAAGGAACAGGCTGGACCCCATAAGCTCTAACTGGAACCACCCCCCCACCAAAGGATGAATTTCTGAATCCCAGAAACCCGTGTCAGTTTTGGCTGCGTCTGTCACCGACGATGTGGGTATTTTGCAGAAGCCAGTGTTTCGCCACCAGCTAAACACAGACACACGTGGCTCAGGAGGAGGAACCAGCTGCTTGTTCCTGTCAGCAAGGGGTGTCAGCGGAGCAGCCACAACATGTGTGAGCTACAGAAGGGCTGCTGATTCCCTTCCACTTTCCAAATCCCCTCAAGAATCCCCCCTCGTGGCCCCACCCCAACCAGAAACATAAGGAAGAGAATCCTGTGTTAGCCACCACACCTACCCTACGATCAGGCAATTCCACTCTAGATATTTACCCAAGAGAACAAGTGCATATGTTCACCAAAAGACATGTGCAAGAATGTTCATAGCAGCTTTATTCATAATAGCCAGAAGCTGGAAACGGCTCAAATGCCCATCGATAGGAATATGGCTAAACAAATTGTCCTATACTCACACAATGGAATACTGCTTTGCAATAAAAGGAACAAAACTATTGGTACACACAACATAGATTAATTTTGCTGACATGATGTTGAGCAGAAGAAACCAGACACAAAAGCATGTATGATGTACAATTCTTTTTGCGTTAAGTTCAAGGACAGGCAACACCAACTAGCAGTGACAAAAATCACAGTGGCTGATCACTGCCGAGGACAGGTGGGTTAACCACTTCGCCACTTGATGGAATCTTGGGGGCCCCTGGGAGTGTTCTCTGTCTTGATCTCGGTAGCAGCTATACAGTTCTAGCCACATGTCAAAATCCACTGGGTTATACACTTAAGGCGTGTGCCCTTTACTGAATGTATGCTGTGCCTTGGTTTCAATTGGAATGCAGATTCCTGGCCCCGCCCCCAGAGATACCTATCAGCTCTGATGCCCTTGAGGGACCACCGTAGGGGAAAACGGCCCTGTGTGTGCCTCATTTCTTCAGTTTGCTCCCCACTCTGTATAGACAGTCATCTTTGAATTCATCCGAAAACCAGCCTTTTCGAGGAGAGAGAACATCCGATTTTAATCCTACTTCTCTGGGATTTGGAAAAGCAATTCCTGTTCAAAAAGCATCCCCCACCCACCCACCCCCCTGCCCAAGGTGTGGGACTTAATCAAACAAAGCTCCTTCCTAGAAAGGGCATCAGGAAGGTGTGCTAACAGTCTCTGAAAGTCGAATTGCTCTTGGTTTTA